CCTATCTATCTATCTATCTATCTATCTATCTATCTATCTATCTATCTATCTATCTATCTATCTATCTATCTATCTATCTATCTATCTATCTACAGATAGGTAATCGAGGTTCAAATGCACACTTCACGTCAACACGGCAAGCTGACAACATTAAATCCCGCATAATTCACACAAAATCAAGATTATTAAATGCATTCTTATAACAGAAAGGTAGTCTCCAGTAAGTGGTCTTACCCGTAGCATGCTACCGACAAGGTCTCAAATTTAGATTCCTGAAAAGCTGTAAAATATTGAAGTTTGGCTCCTGCTTACAGGTTATATATATATTTATAATTTTGTTCATGTATGATTTCTATCATGTGCAAAGTGAAAGGGGTATTTGGGGCATGCACTGCCTTAGGGAGTAAGGATTATTATAGTGCGGTCAAAAAGTCAAAAAGTCGTGTTGCAACTTGTCTCTATTATCTATTTGTGGGGGCCGAATTTTGCTATTCAAAAGGCTTTTTAATGGCAGCATCGATCGAAATACAGTTTTCGCAAAAATATTCTTTAAAATATTATCCAGATAATGACGCCCTTGGTTTTTTCAGTTTTGAGACAGTTTTACTGAAAAAAGCTAAATTTCTCTATTTCGCCGATCGCTTTTGTAGACCGACGCTTCTGTCTCTGTAATTTTAGAAAACCCGGAAGTGATATTTCGCGAACCCGCATTTTGTTTTGAGAGTACAGATCTAGACCTTCTAATTTTTTGCATTTCTCAAGATTTGTTGCCCCATTCCAGTAGAGTGTAAATATAGTGGGCCAATGTCTTTTAGTTGATATTAAAGCACTGATCATTCCTTTCATCGAAAGGGGGCCCAGCTAGTATATTATATTTGTGAAAGTTCGTCACTTTGGCCGCCTAAAACTTCTGAACCACTTAATTTTCGAATTTGACAAAATTAATAGTGATTCAGAACCATTTAAAGGGTGCGCAGTTTCATTGTCAAATATTTCCTTAACTGTCGAACAGAGATTTTATAATATCATTATGGCGTTATTTTTTACTTTCCAGGTCCAGCAAAGCTCATGATCTCATCTTCGTTTTCAACTAATCCGATCGGATCCACTCGAGGTAGTTCTCACAGCAGCTGTCAAACTTTCTTACGACATCACTAGAACCTGCAGAAGACTGTCACACTGAACACAATCTCCTTAAGGTGTTGCATTTTGGATCGAAACTTTCCCCCCCGACAGAGTGGAGAAGCGGTTTTAGAAAATGGTAAGGCAAACATTTGGGTACCGATATCTTAAAAGACAGTTGCCTATTTTTCAGTGTTACTTTCATGCGTCTTTAATTAGAGTATAGTGTCCTTGTTGTCGAGTAACCTTTTTTCCCTTTTTGGTTACATTCTTCAAAAGTGATAATTTCAGAATACTGTTAGTCAAATGATGAACGTAATTTTCTATATTTCACATTCAAACAAGCTTTTTGAAATAAGCCATTTTACAAAAGGCAAAAGTAAAGTACACGATTGTACTTGTATAAACTCCCCGCTTTATGATATTTGTGGCTTTTCAACGATGATAACCCCAGAAGTAATAAGTAACTACATCCCCACTGAGCCCTACGTTGACCCTAGATGTTGCGCATTTGGTCAATACGTTAGAAACGGGTGGCTGTACTTTACTTTTACTTTATTGATAGTACCATTGTCATTTGTATTGGTTGTTGGTTTGATTTCTTTTTTCAAATTTATCATCATGTATACACGTTGCGCATTTGGTCGATAAGTTAGAAATGGGTGGCTATCTTTACTTTTACCTTATCAATAGTATCATTATCAATGGATTTGGTTGCTGGTTTGATTTTTTCTTCAAATGTACCCATATTATACTTTTACCTAATGCGACTCCCCTAACATCTTTAGTGGCGTAAGCAGTCTAGTTGTCAAGCTACCGGACTCATACTAATCATGAGGTTGTGGGTTCGGGGGTCCGAGGCTGAGCTGGGTCCAACATTGTGTGTATCCTTGGAAGAGACACTTTACAGTAACATATATCTTCCCATAATTCGGCTGATCCCTCTGGGTAATGGCGTTAAATTGGGAGGTCCCACCAAATAACTATTTTTAAAGTCCATAATCTGTTTGTAAACTTGCACAGCCCGCTTCCATACCCCCAGCATACCTTCCACTGTACTGTATACCTACTTACGTCCTCTTGACACCTGTTTTTGCCCGATAGAATAGGCTAAAACTAACAATGTCACCTTTGCAGAGACTGTGCCCACCATTTTGGAACTTCACGGTGACATTAAAGATGGTTCCAGTAGGGAACGGGATAGACGGTGCCCACGTCCCTCGTGACTCATTGGAGCAGAGGAAGAAGGGACTAATGCCAACATTACTTAAACGCAATCCCACAACATCACTCATCACCATCATTATTTGTAAAATCACCGTTGCTCTCAGATTATTGACTTACATCTATATTCCTTGAATCAATATCTGTAATATTTACACGTTATACTAAGTTTAGTATGTACGTAATACACTGTTGGACACTATCATACGCACTTTTTCTACAAATCAGATGACGTCAATCTCATATAAATGGGCAAGGGAGAAAAAAGGGAGGTCCTGCCACTCAAATAACCTTAAAATGTAGCACGGAACGTTAAAAGTTTACAATTTCACACGTTTTTGGGTTTTTTTTAAAATTGTCCACACAGGAGCTAAGTCCCCCAGAAACAACTACAGCCCTGTCGTTGGCGACCATCGTCCCTAGCGTTCTGCTGATGGGCGCGGCCACTGCGGCGGCCAGCGTCTTGTGGCTCTTCAAAGACCAGCCAGATAATCTGCCCCCAGGACCGCCAGTCTACTTGCCAGGTAATGATTAGATAAATGTATTCTTCTTCTTTACCGCTGGAAATCCACAGGCACGGAAACTGACCGGCAGTGGAACGCACCGGGATGAAATGTACGGTATCGCAAGTGGCAACTTCAATGTTTGAATCCATAGACACTGCCGGTTTGACTTAGTTTTAGTAAGGTTTTACGGCGCCGCGGCAGCATAGGTCATATGAGCGCCAAGGGGTGGATGTCAACAGAGAAGTGCAAAGGGGGGAACCAGGTTTACTCTGCTCACCGACAGCACAAAGTCTGCTTCGACTATTAAGGCACCACGGAAGTAACAGTTCACAAGAGAAAGGCAAACATACAAAAGAAGTCGAGGAAAAATGACTATAGAAAGGACGAGGAGATAAAAAGTTACAGTTTCCCCCTATGTTATTCCGGCACATTATGAGCATGGCATTGATAAATCAGCCCATTTACAATTCTACTGTGCATAAGAACATGTTAATATCCCTCTCCCTTTGAGTGCGAATGATTAAAATGTATTCTTCTTTACGTTCCCATGCATGGTAGATCTCAGGGTGGGGTAGTCGATGGTGGTTCTTCAACCTTCATTTCGACGGAGTTTTATCTGACAGTTTGTCCTACAGCGTAGTGACCTTTGCTTTCAAGTTTAATGAGGCAGCCACATTCCGATTCCAAAGACATTTTTTATTCTCGTACCATCAGAAAAGACCGAGCAACTCAATAAATCTCTCTCCACACAGGAATCAAATTCGGGCCTCTTGCATGCGACGTTGAAGCGCCTGACGGCTAAACTATAGACGTCCGTTATGGGTATAGCGGATTTGCCAATAGACGCAGTACTACACGACGCCACTGGATTATATATATATATATATATATATATATATATATATATATATAACCGAAAGGAGTGGGAGGGTGGTGGATGTTCTGGTGTGGCTTGTACTTCTTCCCTATCAAACACCTGTTGTCCTTACCTCTCATCCTCCTTTTCTTGTCCTATCTAGTGCCGTGAAACTTTTGCTAAAATTGTGCTACGTATGAAAGGCGCTTCGTTGCTGCACACACAAGTCATTGATATCAATAGTCTGATTCTGCCATGGGAAAATTATCTTATCCGGGTATTCAGCTAAGTTTCAGTTGGCCCTGATGGAAAGCTCTTTTTCCTAAATGACCTTAATTTATCGACAAGGGTGTAGAACATTTTCAATCTATTATACCAATAAGGTGGTTCCTCGATGCTGCACTACCGATGAAACGGCCATGGTTACCCCCCCCCCCTTTTTTTCTCCCTTCCCCATCTCCCGCACTCATAGATTTCCCTCTCTTATGATTATATCCTCGCATTCTTCTCTATTAGCTAACAGGTACCCAGACAGTCATTCACATAAAATAATGAGTTACCTCCTCCAGAAGAACAACCCCCCCCCCCCTTCACCCTCCCGCTTGACCTCTTAACAATGTAGCTAAGTGTACTCTTCTCAGAGACAAGGGGGCCGTCTCTGAAAAGTAGGGAATTTGCAACAATAGAAGGCTTTCGCACAGAATCCCTCTTTCTCTAAGATCTGTACTTCTAGGGTCAAGGGTTTCAAGAGGCTGAATTCAAAACAACGCAATAATTTGTACTGTATTTTGCTTTCTGGTGACGTCTCCGCTTACCATACACACGTCTAGCAACGCAAAAAGCGACAAACATGAGCCTTTACAAATAATGTTTGCATGGCAACAATTCACCTTTATCAGAATAAAGGATATGGGCTTCGACCATGTCCCTCGTGACAACCCGGTCTGAGAGGGATACAGTATCCCAACAGAAAGACCCCCCCCCCCTAAAAAAAAAAAAAATTTTTAAAGAAGAAAAACCTCGACAAGGATTCTCCACATGTCTACCCCTTCACCGGTATCCTCAAGTCAGTCTGGCTTGTGCAAAGTAATGTACCATCTCTCACGCAATGAATGAAAGTAAAACTCCGATGCCTAGGGCAGATGCTACTTTTACGGAGTATCGTCGTCTTTCTAGTGGAGTACATCCCACAAGACTCAAGTTTTTCCAGTTAGGGCAGAGCAACCTTCTCCATGAATGATCTATATTGTGTTGAAGATGGAGTAAAACAGTCCCCAAAATACAACAAAAATCTTATTCTCAGACATTGATTCTCATGGGTATTTATGCATACCATGGAAACCGATAACATATTTCCATTACGTATTTTCGAAACAACAAACAAACAAATAATCGCTACCTGTCAATCAATTAAAATCAAAGATGCGAAAATACGATGACTTACTTCAATTCAAAACAACAAATCTTACAATAAGTGTAATGGGTACAAGCGGGCGTTGGGTGGATAAATAATATTGTCTCTGTGCTTCTTATGGTTTGTCCTTTTTATTTTTAGTAAATCTTACATCTCTCTCTCTCTCTCTCTCTCTCTCTCTCTCTCTCTCTCTCTCTCTCTCTCTCTCTCTCTCTCTCTCTCTTTGTGTGTATGTGCGTGTATGTGTATGTGTTTGTGTGTGTGTGTGTGTGTGTGTGTGTGTGTGTGTGCGCGCGTGCGTGTGTGTGTGTGTGTTTGGCACAAGGAAGGGGGAAAAAAGGGGGGGGGGGCAAAAGAGAGACTGATTGTGCAGCAGATGTTTATTTCATGAAGCTTCACGAATACTCTTCGTGGGTGGTTTTCGGGTGCTCTGGTGAGGTTTGCTCCTTCTTTCCTATCAAACATCTATTGTCCTTATCTCTCCGACTTTTTTGAGTTTGTTACTCTCTTGTAACACCTCTAATCTTCGGAACTGATATGACATTATTGTGGTGCAAGTGCCGTAAAACTCTTACTAAAACAAAACAAACAAACGAAAACTCTTCGGATCTCTTCCACCAAAGGACTGGGCAATCTGCTCAAGCTGGCTGGTGACCCGGTCCAGGCTCTGTGGGATCTCCGAGAACGCTACGGTGACGTGTTCCGGCTCTACCTGGGCTCCCAGCTCGTTGTCGTCCTCAACGGATATGACGTCGTCAAGGAGGTTCTCATCACTCGTGGCTCCGAGTTCTCCTTCAGACCGGACTCCTTCCTGAAGGAAAAGATTGCTGAGGATAAGGGTGAGTGTGGCTGAAAGTTGTATTTAAAAGCAAGAGTACGTCATAAGTCACTTTTCAAAATGGCGTATGGCGTATGGTGGAGACGTGCACTAGGCAGCTAACATCTGAGCACATAATGATAATAACGACAATAACAAATAGCATTTGCGATGCGCAATTTCCTGCTAAAAAACAAACTCCCTAATCTTTACATAAAACTTTTATTACCTCGCCTGACTTGAAAGCATTCTTAAACTATGTTTTAGCGCACTAAGCTCGCCCAGTGACGAATAGATCGCCTAAAAATAGGTTATATAATATACTTGTCAAAATCTTTGTAGAAATCAACACATTAAAATACAACCATGATATGCTTGTTCTATATCTTGTAGGAATCTTGAACACTAACGGCCCTGAGTGGCACGAGCAGAAGATCAACGTTCTGAGAACCATGCGTGACCTTGGGAGGTCAGGCGGTCGCTTCGACCAGAACGTTGACGCAGTACTGGCGACCTTGACCTCCGCACTGAAATCGAGGCTGGGAGCAGACGGCACGTCTGACAACATGGATGTGACGACGTTGATCAGACGCTCGGTCTGCTGTGTGTCTTTTGCTACTGTGTACGGCCGGCGTCTGAGTCCGGAGGACCGGGAGATCCAGATCTACACAGACAAACTGAACACTTTGTTCAAGTACGTCTTGTATCTTTGTTTGTTTGGAAGAGAGAGGGAGAGAGAGAGAGAGAGAGAGAGAGAGAGAGAGAGAGAGAGAGGATGGGGGGATGAGGGAGGAGGGGAGAGAGAGAGGGAGAGAGAGGAGGAGAGAGAGAGGAGAGGTAGAGAGAGAGAGAGAGAGAGTGAGAGTGCATGCTGTGTGTTTTTATGCGTGTGTGTGTGTGTGTGTGTGTGTGTGTGTGTGTGTGTGTGTGTGTGTTTATTTGGTTATTAGGTATGGCCTTAACTCCCTGTTAGAATTAGCCACGAGTGGTTACTTCAAAGGCAGTCCTTGTACGCCGAGGATTCTGAGGCCCAAAAGTAAAGAAACAAAACATACTTAGACACGTCTAAAAGTAACACCCCATACATCAAGTCGTGATATCTCCTTCTTTCTCTCTGTACCTCTGTTTTTCCCCCGTTCTTTCTTTCTTTCGTTTTCTCCGTCTTTCTTTCTTTTTTTCTTTTCTTTCTTTCTTTCTTTCTTTCTTTTTTGATGTCTTATTCCCCGTTCTATAACAATCTCCGTCACTCTCTGTCCTTCTTTCTTTCTGTCTTTCTTTTTGTCTGTCTGTCTGTCTGTCTGTCTGTCTGTCTGTCTGTCTGTCTGTCTGTCTGTCTTTGGTTCCTTATTTCCCATCTATAATCATCTCCATCTCTCTCTGCCTATATCAGTTACTTCGGCGCCCTGGCCGTGGTGAACTTCCTGCCCTGTGTCCAGCACCTGCCCGGTGACCCGGCCTGCTACCACGCCTGTCTGGACATGGTCCAAGAGCTGGAGACACAGGTGGTCAAGCCGGAGCTGCGTAGACTCACGCAGGTTTGTAGTAAAAATTTAATAATGGTGACATTGTATCTGTTTAACGCCCCTATCAATACTTTTAGTTAATTAACCCTGTCCTGACGTTGTGTTTTATTATCGTATCCATACAACGTGGGGAACTCCGTGCCACCACTTTCCAAAGATGAAATTTACTCTTTCATCCGATCCATACGCTTTGCATAGCAGTCTGTCAAAATGATTTTTTGAGAGATACAGAAAGTTTCAAAGAGATATTCGCACTAGAAGTATTCTAAAATGTGAAGAATACAACCTCTGGGGTACAAAATGATCCCCAGGGCGTACGGATAGGGTTAAACGGCGGGACCTCTGAGTTTTACGTCGATCGTCAAAAGGACCGAGCCAAGTGAAAAATTCGTGTAAGGTATCTGCTTTCCCAAGGACACAACGTCGGACCCAGCTGAGGCTCGAACCCCCAAGCCCGCAACCACACGATTACGAGTCCGGTAGCCTAACCACTAGGCTGCCGACGCCACGGTTAGGAGTAACAACATTGGTCATGCTGTTAGAAAAAGCACAGCGATGTTATTATTTATTACAGGCTGTTCTTCATACACATTTATAGTAAAGTAGAGATTGATTCTTTAGTAGCTGCTGTTTTAAGTCAAAATGTTTATCACAATAAATAACTTAAAATGAGAATATGAACAGCAGCAGCTAATATGCTGCTGCTGCTGTAGCTGCTGGAGCTGCTGGAGCTGCTGTTGCTGCTGCTACTACTACTACTACTACTACTACTACTACTACTACTACTACTACTACTAAACACCCCGCCTCCAAAAAATATAATCCCTATATTTTAAAAAATCTATTTAGAGTAAACTATAATATGATAAACACATCTTTAATATCCGTC